GCTGGAGCACATATCTTAATCTTTCTTCCAGACTAGAAATTTCTCAAGTACTCCAGAGCTCTGCAGGGCCCTGGATACTGCATGGGCATTACTGAACTGTGCAATACAGAGAAAGCAGAAAAGGAACTCCTAGGCTGAGGTGGCCTCCACTGCACTCACAGATTGCCAAAGGTGCCTCGCCTCCCTGGGTGCCTGCAGGAGACGACAGGGAACTTTTGTGTGTTCAACCTAGCACAGAACTGTGAGGACCGAGGAATAGCTGAAACACAATAGCAGGAAGAGGGAGGTGTGGGGACGCAGCCATGGCCCAGCCTCTTCTCAACAACACACAGGATCTTCCTGGAGGTTTGCAGTGGCATCTTGGCAGTGGAGTTTTGGCAGGATAATTCATTGGCAAGACGACCATCTAAAGGGCCAAACACAGTGACTGAAAGTCCGAAGGAGGACACCGATCATGCTGGAAGGTTGTTCTGTGAATCTGCACAACAGGCAGAGGAGCTGCCCTGAATGGTCTGAGATAATTTGTTGAAATCACACAAACAGAGCTAGTGTTAGCTTAAGACATGGAAATGGATTCCTCATACAGAGCTCTTTGTCCCAGAGATCGGACACTGGCCACAACAGTGAGATTCTTTCCCAAAATGGCCTTGCCACTCCCACCCTCTGGAATGGGCCTCCCATCTGCCTTACACAAGGTGGCCCATGTTATTTCCCTCATATGGGGAGATTTCCTTTGATCCACATGAATCAAATGCCAGGATCTTAGATCTCAAGAGAGCATGGAAAAGCAGAGAGACAAGGACAGCCCAGTGTGACCCCAGCAGGACACATGGGACTACAGAGGGAACCCAACCCAGCCACCAGCAGGAGCGGAAGCCAGGGAGGGCCTTTTGGACAAAGTCAGAAGGGCAGGGTTTTCCAGCTGGGAGATGTGTACAACTGTCTACCTCTGAGGAATCCTAGTCACCCTCCCAAAGCTAAGGACGGTGGAGACAGGGATGAGGACAAGGTGGGGAGGCCGGCATACCCACACCACCTCCGCTGCAAGCAGAGCTCCTGTGCGCTTAAAATACACACTTGTATAAAAGCTCTAAGATAAAAGATGAGCTTGGCCCCTGACTGTGCCCTCTACCTCGCTTTCTACCCCTCAGGGGGACGAACGCTTTGCTAGACCGAAAAGGCCGGGCGGCAGCAGCCAGCCAGGCAGGTCTTCAATAAATGTCAGATGAGAAAGGCAGACTCTGGGTCAAAAAAGGATGTGTGTGGACCCCATTTTGTAATCAGCTCCTGCTCCACGGAGCCAGGTTAGACTCCCCAACCTTCTTCTCGGGGACTGCTTTCTCCTTCAGTTGGTGCCAACCATGGAGAACTCGGTTGTACACCAACATCCACCAGTGCCCCGCCCCTTGTGCTGTGCCCTTCCTGTTGGGACCCAGAGTCCCCACTGCCCGCACACACCCATCTCCACCAGGCTTTGCCTGCACACAGTAGGAGGCCAAACTCCACAGCAAAGACCGCAGGCCAGCCCAGCCCAGCTTGCCCAGCTGGAGAGAAAGAGCAAGTGAGAAGAGCAGGTGCTGCCAGGAAGGAAGACAAGTTCCTTCCCCAAGGCGCTGGGCGGCCTTAGAGGGCACTACTGGAGTTGCAAATGCCTTACTTTGATCTGGACCCACTTGCTCCATTTTGAACAAACAGGTCTCCTGCCTGGGCCTCTGTTTTCTAATCTGAGAATGAGAAGAGTGGCTTCTGCTTCAATTAGCTAAGCTGATACACTGAACCACAAAGCATGCTAGGCAGATGAAAGCTACCTAGTGAACATCTATTAATTACCAGTGCAAAGGATACAGGTACAGCACACACGGCCTCTCCCTCCCTTCTCTGCCCGGCACTCCCAAACACAGCAAACCTTTCACAGTCCTGGGGGTTTAGGATAAAGAGTCCCCGACACTGATTGCCAAGGAGGTGGCTGGAAAATGTCTTTTGTGCCAACAGCTTCAGGTGCTCCCCACACGCTGGGCACTATTTTCAGTTTACATGGATTAGCTCAGTTGATACCCGCACACCCTGAGGAAACTGTCTGTTATTCTCATTTTACACAACAGGAAACTGAGGCCCAGAGCTCCTCACCGACTCTCTGCACTTTTGATTCCTGCCTGACCTTCTTTCTCATGCACCTCAACCTGCTGTCATACAGGAACACAAAGGCTTTGAAGTCTGACACTTCAGGATCAACATCTGGCTGGCTGGCCTGCTTTTAGTCACATGACCATAGGCAAGTCCTGAAACTCTGCTGGCTCGGTTTCTTCACCCACTCACTGGGGCTGAGTTCTTGCAAGCACTAAAGGGGACAAAGACAGACAGCAGCTGTTCTGCAGACAGAGGTGGTCTTCCCCTCCTGTCCTTCCTTCTTGGCTCTGCTCACTGCTCGGCCATAGCTGCAGAGTCATCATGCTGGCTTTCTCACAGAGCCACAGGGCCTTTGAATTGCACCTGGGGTGGATACCCTGCAGCTGGGTCCCACGGAAGAGCTCCAGCTTTAGGCCATCAGAAAACACAATGACATCTTTGTGGCTCAGGTCACCTCAGGCCACTGGATCTTCTAGTGCACCTGAGGGGTGCTAGGTCTGCTTAAATCTGCCAACCACCCTGGAGCGGGCAGCTCAATCCAGTAAAGAAACTCAACAGGCACCGTGACCCTTGTCCCTTTCTCACCAACATGCTTTTGCTAATCTAAATACATGATTTACACGTTAAAAGGAAAAAAAAGAGACACCCACACTCTGCTTCTGCCTCAAAGTATCCTTACCAGAAACTTAGCAAAGATGCCAGTCTACATTTGCCCCTCCAAGGCAGATTAGCAGGGATCACATTCACTCCCCACCAGGAAATTCCTGGCAAGGAGCCTGGAGCGTGTGTGCTGGCTCTCAGTTGGCCTGGCACATGTCTCCACATCTCCAGGTCTTAGTTCCTGTATGTAAAATGGGAGGAGGTTCGACCAGGAGCTGTGTGAGTTTTGTATTCCATTCCAAATGATCCACCCGATGGTTAGCAATCTTGGAGCTTCGTGTCACTCTGCAGAACCCCTTCAGGAAAGGAGACCTTTACATATATGATCCAGGGGCCAAGTCTGGCACCTACAACCACTACCAACTAAACCTCCTTGGGACTTTACCTAGTAGATCACAGGGGCCAGAGGCAGAGACAAGGAGCTGTTCAAGCCATCCTGTGCATGTACGAGCTCCTCCTCCATGCGAGGTCCTGGGGCAGATGCCAGGCTCCGGGCTGAGGCAGGCAAAATTCTCGTCCTCACCCTGATTTAGCCTACCCTCCATTAGAGAGGCCCCACAAAGCTAAGAAGGTACAGGGCAAGGTCACACCCCAGTGTGGCCACTTCTACAAAAGCACATGCTTTAGGAACGTCTCCACTCCTTCCTTTCCTGCACCTGCTGCCATCCCTGCCAGGGACTGGCTGAGCCACCTCACAGTCAGTGGTCTGTGTGATCCCTGCTATTGCCCCAACAAGTGGCCAACCCTTGAAAGCACGCAGATGTGAGGTCCCCTTCTGGGGACTCTGCTTCTTTCAATTCACATCTGTAAACTCAGTCCACTCCAGAATGTCCCTGCAGGAGGAGACTGGTGGATTTTTGCCTTGAAACCCGCCTTCACGGCAAGGACCGGGCTGGGATAGAGGTGTCAGGTTCACTGGGGCAATGAGGAGGAGAAGCATGGCTGATGGGCACTGCCAGGTTGTCTAAGGCCTCCCCAGGGCTCACTGGCTGACCTCCGAATAAAGGAACCAAACCAGTTGAAGTGCTCAGGGCATCTGGGAGGAAAGGCCCCCTTACCTACACAGCCTCTGATAGGTACCTCCCAGTTCAAGCCAGAGAGGTGGTGCTCGGCCGCAGTGCAGGCTGCCAGCCAGCCTGTGACAGATGGGGGAGTAGGGGAGGTGGCTGGGATAAGGGAGCCATTGCTAAACTCCAGCTTCAGCTATTAATCTGACAGAGGCGGCGACAGTGTGCTTCCCCTGGCCTCTGCATTCCACACACCCTGCCGGAATCTCCTCCCCAGGCTGAATCAGAGACCTCAGTGGGTCCCCTGGGATGGCTTAGCCTTTCCAGCTGTTTGCCTGCTGCTCCGACAGCGGGAGGCTGGTCTGGGAGATGAGAGACCGGAAGCAAAGCAAAGGAGAGTGGACAGGCAGAGGCGAAAATGACACCACCCCTAGCGCCAGAGAGCGCGGGGCCCACCAGATGCCTCCTCCCCAGGCCACTTCTTCCCTCTTCCGTGTGGTCGTCGCCACAGCGCCAGCTTCAGGGCACCTCGGGACGCACCCTACCCTTGTGGCCGCGACACTCTCTCCTGCGCATGCCACGCGTGACACACCCCGGATCCTCCCCCAGCACGCGCGCGCACATGCACACACGTATGCACACACACACACACACACACACCCTGCCCCACTCCTAGGCCGGATGGGCACCGCCCCGGTCCAGTCTGGAAACCAAGCACACCCATGCCCACTTCGTCCTTCTTCCCAGCGTTGCTGTCTCCTACCCACCCCCATCTACACAGGCGGCGCAATGTTCCTGTCCCCAGGCGCTCGTACACACCCTCACCCCAGCCACACACGTACGCACACCCCCGGTCCCTCCTCGCCCACAGGCAGCGGTGCCACCTGTGACTCCTCGAGAAGCACACCTGAAAGCGCCATCCAGGGTTCCTGGGCAGGCTTACGTCCCTCCGCATCCTCGGAGCCCCACTTCCCAGCTAGTAGGAAAGTGAAGGGAGACCTGCTTTCGAACCCCCGCCCCAGCAGTGCCGGCTCCCCAAAGTCCCCTCTCCACGCCGAGCCGAGCCACGGGCTCACCGCGCACTGGCAGTTGAGGGGCGCTCACTCCCGGGGCCAGCGGGGCCACGAAGGGTGTGCCAGGCGCTCGAGCAGCACCCTGCGGGAGACCCCTTTCTGCTGCTCCTCGGCCTGCGTCGGGAGAGCTTACCGAAAGCACTGGGAGAATGGAAAGGAGCCGGTGGCTAGAGAGGCCGGCAGCGCCTGCGGGATCCACGAAGAGCAGAGACGATGGGCGTGCGCTCCGAAGCCAGAGCTGGCAGCCAGGCGACGTTTGTTTATGACCCCGCGGAGGGCCACTTTATAAGCGCCGCGGCCCCGCCTCCAGCCTCGCCCCTCCCCGACCCTCGGCGCCCGGCGCGCAGCGGGGACACACCCCTTCCCCGCTCCCTCCTCCTCGGCGCGCCGTGCAGCCCCAGCCGCCGCCTGTTGCGCAAGCCTCTGTAGGGGCGCGGCGGGGAGGCGCCTCTCAGCGGGGCTGGGGTTCAGCTCTGCTGTCCCCTCCAGTGTCCTGGGGGCGGAGGCCAGCTCTGGCTCAGTGGGCGCGTGTGCATGTGCGCGTGTGCCCGTGCGCGCTCCTGGTGCTTGTGGAGTTCCTTGTGTCTCTGCGCGGCAGCGTGGCCCCCATCTCTGCCTGGGAGTTTCTCCTTTTTAGCGCCAGGCCCACATATCCCTCTGGGCGATTCCCCCACTTCCTTCCGGCCTCAGCATCTGGGCACCCCAGCCGGATTCAGCTGCCTCTAGCCAGGGAGTTCACTCCAGGCGCTTCCATGTGCTACAGGTCCCCGCTGAAATCCTTGCTCCACTGGAACTCTGCCTCTTGCCCTCCCTCATCCCGAGGTGCTTCACGGCCCTTCTCTGTGTCTTCCTGGTTCTGAGTGCATGGACAGTCTAAAGTGGTGCCTTTTCTCTTTGACCAGCACCCTCCTGCCCCCGCCCCCCGTTTTCCAGAATTTGGAAGGCGCGCCCCTTCCAAACTCAGTCTTACCCTGCTGGCGCTGTTTTTTGTGGAGATGTCATCTACCTCCACGTTCTCATAGGACCAGAGAAAGCCGCCATGCTCAACACTAACTGCATCTGAGAATCTCCTGGAAGCTTAAAAAAGGTGGAGGCCAGGGTTCCACCCTAGACCAGGTCCATCGGCTCTCCAGGAGTGCAGACTGGACTTTGGGGTTTGTGAACTGTGTCCCAGGTTGGCTCTGTTCTGAAGCCGCATAAAGAATCACCTTTACCATCTTCTGGCAGGGCTGATTCACAGCCCACTGCATCATTGTCCCAAAGCCACCTTTCTGGTCTGCAGTTCGCCACTAAACCCAGGGATAGCTCAGATGCCCTCGCTGTTCCACTGACTTGTGACCTTCTTTCCTACAGCAACCCAAGGTGTCCTCAAAGGAGGGATCCAGCAGTTTTCTCTGCATCTTGTTTGATTCCATAAGGCCCTGACCCTTCTGTTATTCGTTGGATATTTACTGACCAACTGCTATGGGCTGAGCTGAGTCTGTGTTCAGCAACTGGGAAAGGATTGATAAGGCCGAGTCCTTTCCTCCCGGAGCATAGCAGAGTAGAGCCCTGTGAGTCAGGTTCACCAATCATGCAACAAGGTTTAACTGATTGATTCCACAGTTGTCTTGAGCATCTACTACGTATGGGCAGCATTTTCACCTTGGAGACAGAAAAATGAATAATTGATATCCTTGGGAGCCATCCGTTTATCTAAAGACCTCCCAGATCTAGTAGTCTGTTACCCCACTTACGTACATCCACTTTTCTATAATCTCTCATTTTGACCTTCAGGAAACATTGAGCATCTATAGTTTGCTACTTAATGTACAGAGCGTTCAGTTCAAAAGTATGGAGGAGGGTACTCACTCCTTCAGTTACAAATAGAGCTCCTAGCTTGCGGGCTGGAGAAACGCATATTGCCAGGAGAAGCCAGCTCTTGCTCCTTTGAGGAAGTCTTCCTTGGAGCAGGGCACGCAGACCAGCCCTGCCGCTGGAGATGCTGAGGGTGTCCCCTGTTAGAGGCTGGGTTTACCCAGAAAGGTCAACCTTTTAGATGACCTTCAGCCTTGAATAGGTCAGGAGCCAGGGTAAGGAGAGTGCAGAGAGTAGAGCTGAGAGAGGAGGGAAGACCTGGAACAGTGGCATCTACAAGCAGAGTCCAAATGATGTTGGAAAAGTCCTGAGGATAATGTGGCTGGATCCCACATTCCCCTTCTCAGGAGGACATATAACAAGGTTCCTGTTCCTCCTGCAATTTTCCCTTCCGCTGAGCCCTGGATGAAGCAGTTGTCTTATGTCTGCCTAAGGAGACCACAGGAAAAAGACCAACTTAGTTCCTCCACTGGATGTGATGCCCCCTGGACTAGAGGAAGGCTGCTCACTACATGGAGAAGTCCCCCGCTCCAGGAGCTGAGCACTGCCTGCACATCCACATCCCTGGCCCCCGCCAGCTGAGGCAGCAGAAGCTCTTGGAGCTGAAAGTGGGTGCAGCCACAATGAGTTGTTGAAATTATTTCTCTTTCTCACTGGTCAGCAGAATTAGATTTGCTCAGTAAATGCACATGCCCTGCAAAGCTATCAACAGAACAAAGATTAGATTTTCTAGACTAATGTCCACCAGAAATTTCTATTTGGGAACACCTTAGATTTTAAACTGCCTGTAGGAAAAATCTATTCTCAGCCTTCTTTCTTGTAATCTGTGGGAACTAGGGAGTTCAGAGAGACCCAAGGGGGACTTTGAATCCATGGGGAAGAATGTACAGATCTTTGGACCAAACATGGTCACCACTTCATTTGTGCTCAAATGGTTTTTCCGCAGCTTGCCTGGAATCTCACATCTCACCTTGTTTAATACTGGTCTCCTTCCAGCAATGGTTTTTCCATTGCTGGTCTTATCCCAGAGGATTGGGATAAGCAGTGGGCTTGACTTGAGCACTGGGCTTGAGCACTTGACTGATGCAGTGAGCTTGACTTGAGCAAGTCACCACACCTTTTTGTACATGAAGGTTATCAGTGCAAGAAATCATTAGATGCTTTGACTAAAATTTGTTACCCAGCTGATGTAGTCTTATATGCCTTTCCTGCTTCATAAAATGAGAAACTATTCCTGAAAAGTCAGTATCTCTCCAGCTCCCAAACCCAGCTGTTCAGGGTCCCCTTCTTACTCTAGCATCCATCTCTCTATCTTATTTAGATCATTCCAGTCAGCGAAAACATTCACGGCAAGGAACGACTCATCCTAGACCACCGTGTGGGGATCCCAAGTGCCTACCAGTTACTAAGGCCCACTCCTCCCACCCTTTCTTCTCCAAACTTCTCAGAACAGGCATCTGCACACTCAGCCCCCTTTGCTCATTCTCTGTTCCTTTCCTTTGCAGTGTGTAATTTAGCCAGCTCCTCTTAGACCTGGTTGAATAATTCTGTAGCATTTGTCAGGAAAACAACAACCTTCATCCCCTACTCTCCTACCACCCTGTCCCCTGAAGCCATTAATATCGTCTCTCTGAGACTTATTTGTATTTTACTTCTGCCACTTGCAGAGCTATTTATTCCTGGGTGAGCTATTTAATTTCTTGCCTGGGCCTCTTTATCTACAAGGAACTCATAGTAATAGTGTTTCAGAGTCATTGTGAGACAGGCACTACCATCACCACCATATTGCCATCACCACTGTCACCATCACCACTACTTGGCCATAGGCAGCAGCAGTGTTTCCTTCTGTCCCTCCTGGCGTCTTGCACAGTACCGCATGCATACAGTCTTCAGGCAGTGTTGGTTGAGGTGCAAGCCAATGCGAGTGTTTCTCTGTCAGGTCTCCCCTATTCAGTCTTATTGCTTGGACTCTCAAGAGGGACTCAAGCCCTTCTGCTTGCTTTATTATCAAGTGCACTTTCAGGCCTCTACCTGTAGCTCTCCACCTGAAGATTCATACTCAGGTAAATAATCCCAGTCTTCTGGGATAAGACCAGCAATGGAAAAACCATTACTGAAAGGAGACCAGTATTAAACAAGGCGAGATGTAAGATTCCAGGCAAGGTGTGGAAAAACCATTTGAGCAGGAATGAAGTGGTGACCATGTTTGGTCCAAAGGAAATCAGTTTCTCCTCACTCCTGATTTGCATGTACCTCCTAGGACAGTGATGACAGAGTCCTCCATGCTGGGTGTCTCAGAAACCACAGACTTGATTCTTTCCTAGCTCTGGAGTCTACAAGTCCAACATCAAGGAGCCTGCAGGGCCCTGATCCCAGCCAAGTCTCCAGGAAGGCCTGCCCCTGCCTCTTCCAGCTTCTGGGGTTTTGTCAGTTCTGGCAGTTCATGGTGTCCCATGGCGTGCAGATGCAGTGATCCAGGCTCTGCCTGTGCCAACCTGTGTCCTTATCTTATGACTGTGTGTCTGGTATTCTGGTGAGAAGAATCTAGAAGAAATGCTCTCTGTCCTATTGGGTGAAGGTCCTCCCTAATCCAGTGTGACCTTGTCTTGTCTCACTTATTACACCTGCAAAAATACTATTCCCAGGTTCAGTAATACTTTGAAGTTCTAGTTGGATGTACACTGGAGGGGGCCATTCAACCCAGAGTCAACCCAGTCCGTGGCTAACATGTATTTAGCAAATATTTGCAATATCTTTGCAGGGAGACCTCCTCCATGGCCTGTCAGGGCAGCTTTGATGATGCTGCTATCTTGCGATACTATAGTCGCTCATGCTGGGTCCCTTACAACTGTCCCCACTGTGTGTTCTTCCCCGGCAGTTTACTGTATGCCATGCTACTGTCACCCTGAGAAACTTAAATCCTGTGTTCTGCCTCATTAAACCTTTTGTAGTTCCTGTGGCCTGCCATCTTCTTGATGGCAGGGTGGGCATCATCTAGGGGCACAGCTTTTCTCATCCACTCCACTTTCTCCTTCTGCCCCTGAGTTACTCAGGGTTTGCTTTCCTTGAAAATACTACTGTCGCCCTTATGCTGACCTTTCAGCACACTGTGTCCTTTCCCTGTCCAGGGGCTTTGCTGGTCCCCTCCACCCTGCAGTGGGAAACATCAAGAGTCATTCCTACCATTTTGGGTCTCTGCTTCCTGCCCTTCACTATTAGGCATACAGGCCTGACTGGTGCATGGAGATGACCTCGGTCCCTTCCAGATGGGACTTTCAGAGGCAGCCTCAGTGCACCACTCCTCCTTAATTCTGACACAGGGGCCAGGAATCTGAAGGTGAAGGCTCCTTCCCTGGGACCTGGAGGAAGAGGGAGGAGACCTAGTAGAGTCCCAGCTGACAAAGACATGTCACATGGTTCTTACGCTGTGATCT